CTGAGCAGGGAGCCCGATGCGGGGCTCGATCCCAGGACCCTGGGACCATGACCTGAGCCGAAGGCAGATGCTTAATGACTGAGCCACCCAGGTACCCTTCCAGTGTTATATCCTGAGCAATGTGCTGTGGCAATGGGCCACCAGACATCATCAGAAAGTGGGCAGGGAATGAGAAGCTGCCCAGCCACTTGTTTTTCTGCCAATTTTCTTTTCTTGCTGGAGGTACATATAACCAAACTGCCTTCTTTATCTGATGGTAGAATTATGTGCCAGGCATTGGTTTTTATACCCAAGATTCTTCCTGATTCAGGATATTACCTATTAGATGGCCCCCATTATAACATGTGCATAAACACTGATTAGGAATCAGTCAAGACCCTGAAGATATTGGGGTTTAGTAAATTCTTGGAGTTGGAAGTAAAATTTAGAAAGACTTTTTCATGTACTTACACACAACACTATATTCACCATCCTTCTCTGTTTTGTCAGAAAGCAGAGTAATTTCAGTACACTTTCCATCCACTCTGTAAAACAGAATAAGCTGACATCCCAGAGACACTGACGGGCTAGCTCCCTCACACTCTGAGTGTCCGATTCCACTTAACTGTTGAACACTTTGGGGGTGCAGTTTCCAAAGAGCTCTTATTTATCTTATTTCACTTTAGGTGATACTTTAAGAATGAGTCAACGACTTCTATCACTGTTCTTCTGCCACTGTTTCCCACTATTACTACAAACACCTGGCTAGATAATTAGCTGAGGGCTCACCATGTGCCAACCTCTCAGATAAGTGTTCTACAAACATTACTTCACATGCTCCTTGCAAAACACCACAAGAGAATTATTATCATCCTCTTTACCCAAGGGAAAACTGGGGTGGAAAGAGAGGAAGTTTCTTGGTCAAACAGCTAGTAAGAGAGAGGTTCAAGAGAGAGATAGGCTGCTAGTTCTAAATCCTGTGCTCCAAACCCATGCCACACTCCTTATGATTCTGAAACTCTCTGCTCCTTACCTCCTCTACGCCTGTTTTAATTTATTTATGTCATGATTCTTATCTCTGAATCTAGAAAAAGCCCAGGTTCTCCAGGTCCTGGATCAGTGTGAGATAATGGGCTCTGATTTTGAATACAGACCCAGGATGTATATGTACACTTGTGTGCGTGTGCGTGTGCTCACGCACGCAGAGTTCCAACACCATACTCAGATTCTCGTGTTTCCTTTCCCAAGTGAAAAAGGCCACACTTACTTTATATGCATGTTAAAGAACAGAGAAGAGTTGCTCAGGACTTCAATGTGTTTCACAAAACCCCTCATGCTACCATTTTCTTCTATCCTTTCCCTGAAAATGGAATACCAATATCCTGAAATCTGCAATAAATCAGTAAAATGATTAGGTAAGAAAAGAGGGAAGGGAATACTACAGGATCACATGTTTCCATGAACCCTGACCTGTGGGCTGGACCTCATAATGGTGACATGAACGTGGAATTAGAACTCAGGTCAATTGGTGCCACATCTAGGGCTCTTTCCATTGTCCTTCCAGGGAGAATAGAGGTCCCCAAACATTGTCATCTTTTCACAAAGGACAACTGCTCTTCGTGGAAAGTCTGAAACCACCTCTTTTGTCTAGTATTTCAAAGGAACCCCTGCCCTCTGGTAAGGCCATGTTGCCTCAGAATCCTCCAAACCATCCCCAAGGTCCAAAGCTACTACACTCTACCTACTCTACCTTCGAAACATCAAAGTTTCTTCTCACAACATCATTTCCTTCTTCGTGGGCACAGACTAGAATCAGCGCCAGACACAGAAACAGCAGCTTCATCTTGGCAGGAGATGGTACCGTCTTCCCCACAGTCACTGAGAGGAAGTCTGTCCCTGATGGTGGCTCCACTCCCCAGCTCCTCTGTTTTTATATCTGGTCTAGTTTTTTTTTTTTTTTTGTCCAGGGGACACCACATTTCCTCCTCCCACTCTGTGAAATGGTCTGTCACTCACTGGTGTGAGGCCAAGGATTGTTCCTGCCCTTTTGAAACTTGGCAATCTCATCTCTTTTAGATCTACTTGGTGGCCTTAAATTTCTCAGAACACATATGCAAAAAAATAGTGGTAAAGAAAAAAAAAAAACAGCTGCCTTTTGGAACCAGATTTAACTGTGGATCTGGCTTGGAATCAGAAAGGCAATTATGTGTGGTGGGAATGGACTATAACTGGGAAGTAGAGTGTGTAGGGGATTTATATTCCACCACTTACATGGTATGCAGAATTGGGCATGCCACTCCATTGTTATTAATTTCAGAAGCAAAGAAACTGTCTCTACCAAAGATGATAGTACCTTCCATAAAACAGTAAAATAGAGTTGATCAAAATAGGATAGAATGAAATAATGAAATATGATTTCTGGTATTCAGTATATTTTAATTTATTTTCCTTATTCTCTGAACCAGTGTGGTTTCCCCTTTCCCCCACAATAAATGGACAAAGTGTTTAATCCCTGTGTATACCTCACTATACAATAGGACCCATAAGAGAGATAGAGAAGTACAATACGTCATCTGTTCCTTCAAGTAAACTTCGATGGAGTTGGGGAAATGCTACTCAATGAAAACTTGATTCTACAAGCATATGAAATAACCCAACTGAGCGGGACTAAGTCCAAACCATTGTAGGTCAGAAAAGGGGTGACACTGGGGAGGTGGTATCACATAGTAAGGGCTTAAGAACACGGCTTTGGAGTTCATGTAGATCTGGGCTTCCTTCCTATCTCTGCCATTTTGAAGCCACGAGGACAGATTTAACTTCTCTCAGCCTTAGTTTCCTTTAAATGGGGATAATTATATGTGCCTCATAGATTACTGTAGGGATTCAATGGGATGATGTGTGTAGAACCCTCAGCATAATAATGTCTGGCACATATTGGTCAGAGAATTATTCCTGAGAAGGTGGGACTTGGCATAGGTCTTGAAAGTTAGGGAGGGTATGAAGATGTGGGAAGAGCACTGCAGTAGGATCCCATGGCCCCAGCTGGGGCTTGTTAAAAGCTATGGTTCATTTATGCTTTGTGCTTTGCCCCCTTCTGCACCACCCCCAAAACAAAAAGAGGTTGGTGTCATGGAAGGGGCTGGGCACAAGGCAGTGAACCTAGGAATTGTGGCATTCTATCTGTAGCTCGATTTAAAGAGTCACTCCAGGAGCGCCTGGGTGGCTCACTCTTGATTTTGGCTCAGGTCATGATCTCAGAGTCCTGAGATCGAGCCCCACGTCGGACTCTGCGCTCAGTGCAGAGTCTACTTGAGATTCTCTCTCCCTCTCCCTCCCCCTCCTGCTGTGCGCACGCTCTCTCTCTCACTCAAATAAATAAATAAATAAATAAATCTTTAAAAAAAAAGTCACTCCTGCCCTGTGACCATTCCTAATTCCGCTCAACCACTATCCGGGCACTGGTATTTTGAGGTCTATATAACTTTAGCCATTATGGGCTGGCTATGGGTTTTCCTGCCCCTTAGATGGAAGAACTGACCTTGAATGGGTGGCAAAGGCTGTGTACTTTATTTCCTCCATTCGATTAACCAACATCAATATCCCAGTAGGCACTTTTTTGCTAAAAATTGGCAAATAGATTTTAAAATTTATATGAAAATGCAAAGGGTCTAGAATTTGACAAATTTGAAAAAATGATGAACAAGTTGGAAGATTAACATTATTCTATTTCAAGATTTTTAAATAAAGCTACCATAATAAAGGCCACGTTGTATTAGCATGATCAACACATATATGAATGACTGATTTTTGACAGGGGATATGATATTTTCAACAAATGATGCTAGAACAATTGACTATCCATTCAGTGAGATGAATTTCAATCCTTACATCGTATGCAAAAATTAACTCAAAATGGATCATAGACATAAATTGAAAACCTAAAACTACAAAACTTTTCAAAGAGAACAGAGGAGAAAATCTCCATGACCTTACATTAGGCAAAGATTTTCTAGATACAATACCAAAAGCCTGAGTCATAAAACAGAAATTTCACAAATAGGACATCAACAAAATTAAAGAGTTCTGTTCAAAAGTCACAAAAGAATGAAAGAGACAATTTGGGAGAAAATACCTGCAAATAAATAAATAGATATATTTATATATAGTAATTCAGTACTATAGCTAATAGTAATGAAGATGAGGAATAAAAGGGGAAAGAATAAAATGTGATTTGATTCATTTAAAGACTGACCACTCCAGGGGCAGAGCCAGAATTTCTTCCCTTTGGATGAGTAGAGCTTCACCTAAAGAACACAAGCTTTAATAGACGTCAGTCCTCTCCCAGTCCAGTGGAGAGGGAGAGAGAGGGTCCCTGGGAAGTAAAGGTTTTGTGGGGAAAGGGCTGAGAATTGATTTGTCCTGCCAGCCTATGGGCCCCAGGGAAATGGACCCCTGCCCTTATGCTAGGGGACAAGGAGCACCTCTAATGAGCCGGGCTCAATCAGCACAACGGGAGCAGATTGATGAAGGGTATTTCTTGGCCTCTGCCACTGTATTGGGGAGCTAGTCTTTGCACCTTCTCTTTTATGGGATCAGCTGAGTAGGGTCCTATTCTTGTTAAGGGTAGCCAGTGATTCCAGGCTGAACTGCCTAGGCCCCAAATATCTACCAATCCTTTAAGACCAGAGAGCCAATATTCAATAATATAGCCACATTTCAAACATGAAACCTGAATCCAAACTGCTATATTACGGTCAAGTTGCTTCAGCAACTTTTATATTTAAGGCTTTTAGACTTCATCAAACTTAGGAACAATCTGGTAATCAAAGAAAGAAGGTCTTGTTCAAAGTCACATTTGTTCAAGGATGGGATTGTGCCAGAATCCACTTACCAAGGCAAATAGTTACAATGAGGATGCAGCAGTACAAATATCATCTGTCCAAGGGCCTGATTTATAAAAATAATATTTTAATGTCGGAAATAGAGTAAGAACTCAGTATTAGATAAGTACTTACAAATATCCCTTCATATAATCCATGATAAGCCTTTTACACCCCAAATCTGTCTCAGTATCTGCTTTCCAGAGGACACAGATGGTATGCTGTTAACTCCAAGCAACCTTTCATCCATAAAGGGAGTGGATATTTTAGAACTGGATTTGAGTTGGTACCAAGAGAATGTATAATCACGCTGGGTGCTAGGGACCAAAAAATTATTCCATTCTGGCACATAAAGTAAATAAGCTTGTGTTTCTTCCTATTCTTCTTGGCACTGACAGTGTCTTGGTATTATATAACATGGCTTGATGTTCTCACTGGCTTTCTCAGTGAGTGATCTGTTTAACTAATTAAAAGAGTATGACTGAAGACAAGGTCACTAAGTCCATTTCCAGTCAGCCAATTCGTTTCAATCGAGCTACCTGGCCATGAATGGATTGTTATCCATTCGTATATGGATTCCATAAGCCCCTTGCCCACACGCTGAGTCACGATGTAGGCCAATCATTTCTCAACCACCTGGTAGACTGTCAACCCTCTCTTGGGTCACTTATAAAATGCCCTGTATTTGGTGTTGAGTGAGGAAATCCTAATGTGTTGGTGACCAGATTCTGCACTTGAAGCCATGAATGGAAGGGAAGAATTTTTCCTTTTTGGTATGGAAGTATCTCCTAATTCCTTATGAGAAGTATTTTTTGTTTCCAAACATTTCAGCAATTTCCAGATTATTCCGTGCCAAAAGCACCGGAAGTGCAGCAAGGTGCGGTGTGGCCCGCTGGTGGCCAGCCAGAGGACCACACCGCGTCCCAGCCCCACTTCTGGTGCTCCCGGACCCACTGGAACAGCCCCTTGCCGCTACCTTGCATCCTGCGTGCATTGTGAGGTTTCGGCCATCGGGAGTATTAAATGGTTGCTCGTTTCTGTCATATGCATACATACAAATATAATTTGCAACTCTTAGCTGAAGAGTCTCAGCGGACTACAGAACTGGTGCAGGTTACATTCTGAAAATTGGGAAGTCTGTTATTTCGACAAATTTGAGAAATGTAGCAAAAGCTCTTGGCTCGCCTCTTCATCTCGTTGATTTCCATCCATAACCTAACCCTAATCCGAACGAATTTTCTACACAGCTTCCAGAGCAAACTTAGAAGAACGGTAATGAGATCACTCTACTCCACAGCTCAAAAGCTCCATCTTCCCATCCCACCTAGAAAACCATCCAAAGAGCTTGCGCTGTTGACCTCTCCAAGCCCAGCCTCATGTCCAAGTCTGCTCCCACTTTCACTGGTCTTTCTGCTGTTGCCTGAACACGTGAGCTTGTTGCCAACTCATGGCCTGTGCAATTGCTACTCCTTCTGCCTAAAACACGTTTCTCCGACCTCGTTGCTAGGCTGGCTCTTCCCAAAATCACTGTCTAGCCCTACTTTATTTTCCTCCATAGCACGGAGTCCCTGCAATTTTATTATATATTTATTTTGTTGCTTGCTTATTGTCTGTCTCTCTGAATAGAATGTAAGCTCTGGAGAATAGGGCTTTTGTCTGCTTGTTTCCTGCTGTGTCTTAATGCCCAGGACAGCATCTAGCACAAAGCAGGAGCTCAATGTGACAAAGAATAAAGGAATGGTAAGACTCTGGCTATGTGGCATGTTAAAAATCCTACTATGGATGTTTCATGCCAGAGTGTCTTTTTTTTTTTTTTAATTTGTTTGTTTGTTTAATTTCTAAGAACAAGCACTGTGAGAATAAAATAAGATCTACCTCCATGTCAATTCTGGAGCTACGTAAGTAGACTAAATCACACCAGTGATAAAATACATCAGTTCTGGGAACTGAAGAGACAATGCTTATGCTTTTACAAATCTTTTCACATCCTCTCAATTGAACATTTTGCCAACGTTTCTTAAAAGAGAAAAACAATCAAAGACCGCAGATAATTATGTATCGAAAATAACAGGAAAGGGCACCTGG